AAAGGAGTCAGTACAAATATTTAATTGCTTTGTAAGTCAATGTATTCCCAATTAACATCATGTATTAGAAATCAAAATCTTATTTCAGACTTTTTTCAGTATAATATAGGTACTAGACAGAGTTGCATGTTAAGTCCTCTCTTATTTATCATGTTTATTGGTGAACATACAGAATAACTAGAATCAATGGAATGTAAAGGCATATATACATTGATGAGACATATCCTAACATTATGCAGTTACTTTTTGCTGATGATGTAGTTAATTTTGCGGATACTGTTATCAACTTACAAAATCAAATTTAAGTCTTAGAATAATTTTGCTACAAATATGGCATGAAAATTTATTTACAAAAATCAAAGATCATGGTGTTTAGACGTGGAGGTATAACAAAAAGTACCGAGAAATGGTTTTTTTATGAAAGAGAAATTCAAAATTTACCACTTTACAAATACTTAGGGTTATATTTTACAAGTACAATGTCATGGGAACTGACAAAGAAGTCTCTGTGTGTGTCAGCAGAAAAAGCATTCATTTGTTTATTGTATATAAATTTATGAAGATGTACAATGTATCATATAAACAAATCTTTTGATAGAATGATTGTACCTATTTTGACTTATGGTGCTGAAAGATGGGGGTATGAGTTATCTAAATGTATCGAATCTATACATACAAAGTTTTGTAGAAGAGTTTTAAGACTAAAGAACAATACACATAAAATAGTCGTACTAGGAGAAAGGAGATATCCTCTTATGGTACAGTACTTTAAGAAATTTATTGCATATTGGTTAAAGATACTCTGTATGGAAGATGATAGATACCCAAAAAGATGTTACTTATTTTTACTGCATTTAAATAATGTAGGTAGAATTAGAGGTAGCTGGGCATCAGAAGTGAAGTCAATGTTATTTAGATATGGATTCCACTATGTATGGCTTTATCAAGGTGTTGGGGATAATGTATTATTTTTAAAAGAGTTGTACAAAGAGTTTAGGATAACTATATGGAAGAATGGCACTCCTCATTGAGCTCTTATAGTAAATTGGATTTTTATTGCAAATTCAAAATTCTTTTTGAACCAGAGAGGTATCTAGATGTCATAAACAATGTATCTTTTAGATAATCACTTTGTAAATTAAGAACCTCTAGTCATTGTTTGGAAATTGAACATGGTCGATTTAAAGGTATTCCTAGAGAAAATAGGTTTTGTCTCTTCTGTCAAATAGCAAATAAAAATTGTATTGAAAATGAAAAGCACTTTGTAGAAAATTGTGAATTATATATGAATATTAGAGTAAAATGTAATATTTTGAAACACTTAAGATTTTATGAAAACACTGTGAATATGTTTATATATAGAAATGATGTAGAATTAAATGATATTGCAAAATTTTCCTTTTCAGCTTTTAAAGAGAGGGAAAAGTTCATCGAGAATTTAACACGTAATAATTTATAAGCATAGTTTATATGTTTCCATATTATATATTTAAAGCCTGATCTGAAATTGTAATTTAATATTGTAAAAAATGACTGTACTTTGGGTCGGTGGCCTGTAATACTTAATTCAATTAATATCTTGAGAATGACTAACAAGCATTTTTAGGAGAACACATTTCCTGAAAGGTATAATATGACTAACTAGGAATATCACCTTCCGCAAAAAGGAATACTATATATCTATACATAAAATAAAAGAAATGCGAGTTTTAATAAAAGGAATGAATTATGATGCTTTGTTATAATTTTTCAATCATACATGTCAATTAGAGGAACTGAGAAACTTTACTATGTCACTGTTTTCTCTATGGGATTAAACGTTCTTTTTGAAAAATTTATCGATGTGTAAACTCTTGACATTTTACTCACAAACTAAATAAAAGTGCGAAGCACTTTTATGATAAGTTTGTGAGTAAAATGTCAATAGTTTACACATCGATAAATTTTTCAAAAAGAACGTTTAATTCTTATAATTCCAATATCGAATTTTTAAAAATATTTAAATTATTTCTCTTTGAGGCCTCCATACAATCCGTTATTTCTGGACGGCGTAGGAATACATTTTTCCGCAAAGGAACGTAATAGAGATGAATTTCGATAGAGTTCAGCTTAATTTGTCAAAACAATCGATAAATAAACTTATAAAGACTTATCGAATGTTGTTTAAGTCAACAAATATCGTAATTACGAGTTTACTTCAGAACAGTTCGTCCTTGACCATGGCCATGTTGAAATAAACGACAACTCTCATAGCGAAAGTTGCAGACCGACGACGCCTTCGATTTGCTCTTGTTTGTTCAAAGATTGATCATGGGGAACAATATAGAAAGTAGATATGAATTTGATGCTAATAAGGCAAGAGTTTGAGGTACGTTTCTTTTCCCTGTCACAACGATACAAACAGCTGATTTTCTTCGTATTATGAACATCGATAATATGACATCAGCGATTTTTAAAATTCACACCCGTTATCCGACATTGGCGTCGTTTTCATGGTGTCTGTCAGGTGTTTAGTCGTTTGTCGCCAGATTTATTTTATTAAATCAAATTTTGAAGTTTCTTGTATTCAAAATATAGCTAAAACAGGACAGAAATTTAACTGCTTTCATTGTTTATACGAAAGCACAGAAGCTTGGTCAAGAAAGTAGTTCTGATTGAAAATTTTATCGATGTGTAAACTTTTTCTAAAACGTGTTCTCGTCCAATCAAAACACTGGGATTCAATAAATAAAATGAAGATTGGAATTATAAATCTATGTTCACTCCAAGAGGTATCTTGCGGGTACAATACAAAGAATAATTTGGTTTTTGACACTTACATGTAAAAGCACTTAAAGATGTAGAGTTCATAAATCTTGACAGACACTTTTCACGCATAACGTTGGTAAACAGTGTTCATGGAATTTTGACACTTCACAATTTGTATCTTTCTTAGTTTAAGGGGTAACTCTCCAGCGAGTTATCATTGACAATTCCCTACACATTTAAGCATGTTGTACACACACAGCATAAGTGAAAACTGACCGCAGCTATCGACAATCGTACAAATTAATTACTTTAGTACCTAACCTAATTTACATTTCAAATATTTTTCTTAGATGAACCTATGGAAGAGTAAATTTTATTTGGGGGTCAGAGGTCATATCGCGACCGAATCACGGAGCGAGGTGATATTTTGTCTACAAATTTCTGTCACGGTGCAACTTGTTTAGGAATATAGTTGATAACGATGAAAAAGATGAAGTGATAAACGATATGGATATTTTTTTAATCGCGAAATGAATAAATCAATCTTCTTTCCATGTGAATTAGGTTTCTGAACCGGAGTGCTACACATGATTGTAAACATTCAAACATTCGAATTTTCACGACCAAACAACTTTTAGGTAAATGTGCGCCACAACAAAGCAATACGGCGGCCCGTTCGTGTAATAAATGCAGTTTTACTCGAAATCTCTTCGTCTCAAATGAAAATATAAATAATAAACAGCAATGTAAAAAGTTCACTGGGAAATGAACTTTTAATTGGTACGTGATCAAATCTACTGAGAAGCCCTTCGGATTTGCTGTTTATTTCTTAAGTATATGAAGTATATGGCTTTTGATTGATCAAACACCAATCTTAATTTATTGTGCAGCATCACTTATGGAAAGGTAACAGATAATAAAACATGAAACACATCCGTCGAAACAATTTGACAAAGAAAATAACTCGCAATGCAAGGAGATTAAAAATGGGTGTCATGTGCATACCCTAAAATTCGAGTAGTTGCATCTTTGTTAATCCTGTAATGTTTTTTTTATAATTATAATTAGATGATACATGTAAAGATTTTTGAATTTCCTGGACGCTGATTAACAAAGTCATAGTCATTTACTCCGATTGAGATGATATAAGTTATTGAGTGATACCGTGTAAGACTGAGTGTTATCATTTTTTTTTATTCGCATCATGGTCTTGAACGCTGATTATAAATTAACCTCTGTTGAAACAACGGTTTGAGACGTCTTCTCCATTATATATCCAAACAGATGTGCATGGGCAAACAGCACTGTGAAAAAAGGAAGTTTAATTAATGTATATACATATAATATAAGAATTATTGTAAACAAACAGAATTAGAAAAGCAAAGGTTCAGACTATAATGGTTTTACATGTAAAATAGATTAATACAGATTATTTTATGAAATAAACAAATAATCGCTCTTAAGCTAAGGCGGACAAGTAAGTTTAGTTGTTTGAAATTAGATTACACTTGAGTCAACCTGTTTAAACGCCCCCACGCGATCAAGACTATAAACCCCAGATTGGTTTTGAATTACTATACAATGGCCCTAAAAGACGGAATTAAGTCAAAATTTAAAAAAATGCATACCAGCACCAAATAATTGTTCACCAAAAAAAAAAAAAAAACAAGTACATGTAATAGCTATTTAGAGAATAGATGTCCCTTTTCAGCATCCCACTTTCTCAACATTTCAGATTTCACTTTTAGTACCAGAGTGAAATGATGCGGCTGCCAGGATAACTCTCCTGGTTTAAGGGACATTGTTAGATAAACCAGATATAAAATCAGCGATTCGATTCATACCAGTCGTTACATCTCAATTTGAATTAGTAGGTTGTAAACTCCAGGATAAACACTACTTCGATAAAACCATTGCCTTTGGCACCCAAATCAGTTTTGCAGTCTGAAAAAATGCTACGTTGCACTGATTTACCTAGATAACCCTACGTAACCCCAAATTTTTAGTTATTCACTTAGTTTCAAATGACTTGACAACAGCGAAAACCTTGTTAAAGAAATACAGGGCACATTCCTGCGCTACAATACATTATTACTTTGTGTCTCTTTCACCTCTTTAAAAAAGAGGGAAGGCTTACAGTCTGAAGTACTCAGTGTCAGTAAGTACTATCGAGCAGGGAGAAATCTTTTGGAAACAGGGTCATGCAACAGATATGTCCCAGGTCATTCCCATTTGAGAGTTGTAAAATATTGGGACTTCACATGGGTCGTTGTGCTCAACACAAGGCCTCCGTCTTGCCTTTATGCACCTTTATGTGTTTGCTTTCGGTTATAACCTCAGTTTTTCTGTTATTTGCGGACAATATGGCCATTGTATGTAATGTATCTCCGATTTCCATAGACCGATTTCAGTGATTGTTGTGTTGGAAATTTGAATATAATATTAGTAATCAAGGTTCAACCAAGGGTGAACGGGGATTTATCACGGGTTTTATTAGTTACATAGTCTTTTAGTGACAGGGTACGGCGGAGCCTTGCCAGGTATGAAAATTTACTAACCAGGTATTATCCCGCACCCTGTCACTAAAAGACTATGTAGCGAATTTACCCCATCGATAAAAACATTTAAGCTTTATCTGTGGTTTATTTATGTGTTTCTCTGCTACATGCTTCATCACGCTTATACTCTGCCTATTATGACGTCACGTTTTGTTTGTTACGTAATACTACGTATATAGAATTACAACTGACCGGGTATAAGTAATCTACCTCCTTCACGTGACAGACTTCAACAAATCGTAAGCCAGGATTTCACGGAAAAATCAGCAGAGGTGGGGTAATATTCCATACACCTTGAGGCTGAAACCCGAAGGGTGCATGGAATACAACCCGGGGTAATTCGGCAACAGGGTGTATGGAATGAAACCCGGCATAAATCACCGTACATCCTTGATTGGACCCGGATAACGAATATATTTCCTTTGTAAAAATAAAGTTCTTTGTCAAAAGCAGAGTCTTATTAACTGTGTTTCAATCTATCGATAAATTAACTACGTAACACAATATATCGTGACGTCATGTTATTTGGTTTTTATCATAGAGAGGAACTATGCATTGTGAAGTCACGCTTTATTTACCCCCGGCTGCAGTCGAGTGCATGCTCGGAAATTTACACCCGACATGTAACCAATCGAGGCCCGGTTTCGAGCAACATATAGGAAATAATAACTTGTGTAATAGTACTTTTGCAAAGTTGAATAAATGTGTAATGAATTTTAGAGCATTGTTGTACATTCCAAAAGGTATAGCAATAGTGGAAAAGCTAAATAATGGTATTAATTTTAAAAAAAAATCTAGTAAGTTTCTTTGTGGTATAAGAAATCAACTCTAATGCTAAAAAAAACTTGGTAATGGTCGAGTTAACATCCCGACTGTTCAATTAATTAAAGCAATAAATTGTTTAGGTTAGAAAAGAAACATCATTGATAAATTATTTTTTTTTACAATAAATGATTCATTTTTAATCTTAAATTTCTTTTTTTAGTTCATATTTTTGTCTTTCAAACTTTAAGACGAAAAAAACAAGATTTTTTTTTTCAAAAACAAAGTATGAATTAAAAGTTAAAGAAATTATCTGGTATTTAGTAGTTTTTGACTGGCCCTTTTTACATTTTAAATGTGGTAAACCTCGCAATACATAAGAGTATATACATATGTATAAAAGAAACAAAATAAGTGTAATTCTCTTTCACAAACGGTTTAAGGAAAATTATCTTTTTATACTTTTAGACTTTTTCATTAAAAACATAATGATTAACTCGTATGATTAATTCCAAGCAAATATGAGACATGTAAGCTGTTGTTTCCAATAGCCAGCTGTTTTTCATTGCTTATTTATATGGAGATCAATGTTTTTGTTGAGTTACCTATTCATTAGTCTTAGCAATACTCACACACAAGTGGCCTCAGGATACTCCGGACAAGTCTGAACAGTACATGGTCCAACAAAACAAGGTATTACAGGACAGACTGAAAATAAGAATAGAAATACGTTATTTCACTAAGTGTTCGAAATTCCACCCTAATCTTATATCTATATATTTGCATATCCACTGCTCTCTCACACTATGAACATGTAGACATCAACTGCGTTCAGAGGACTATAGACGCAACTACTTCTGCTATGAGTGCATCTGCTCTTTCACACTCCTGTAGAACAAACTCTAATACTCTTCTTTCACGTGTTGAGAAGTATATATATGAAATGTTTTGTAAGAGGAATAAATATAAGTTTTTAATTATATTCTTTGAAAAAAAAGACATTCAGAATATTTGAAATTGCTGATTTATATCTTTAAAAATTCAATTTTGGTCAATGTATTTAATTGTATAATTAATTTTTTTTAAAAATTGAAAAGAACTGCCATATTTTTATTTTTTTCGTATCATGCATATTTGTATAAAGAACGATAACTCTTCCCACTTGGGTAATAACATTCAGAAAGAAAAAAAATTCTTTAACTAGTATATTTATTTAAAGAATGATCTTAGCTATTAAAAATAAATAGAAAAACTAAAAAAAAAAATCATAAAAAGCATCCTGGAGTAATAATAATTAAAAAAGCATATTCATTTTTCATTATAGTGTAAAATTAATGATTTTTGTCAGAGGGTTTTAATAACATTGATCGATGACGTCACAAATGCATCAAAACAAAAATTAAGAGAATGTGCTGACGGTGCTGTTTGTATCCAGATAACTGTGTTTGAGAAGGAAATACTTTATAAATTATTCGTGATTTATTAGAGAAAAGGAACATTGATCAGGTGTACTGATTTTAAAGCCGTATGTTTTTCTTTACTGAAGACAAGAAGCCGCGTCCCTATGTAAGTCAGGATTTCCTCTGATATTCTTGAAAAAAAAAATCATAGAATGCAAATATAAGTAATATACGTTATTCAGTGAACTTGGCATTATGAATAGCAATAGCTCTGCTGGCATATTTTCCATGATGCGCTAGCACAGTTGCTATTCATAACGCCATGTTCACTGAATAACGTTGTTTATTTCTTTAATATTTCACATGTTCATTGTGTAATTCTAATGAAATACTTAAAGCGTAAATGCATAACAAAAGAATTGATATTTACCTCTAGTGTTACAAACTCTATTACAAAGCTGTCTTGTTTGAAAGTTGTTTGCATTTCCACCACAGCATCCATAGGTAAAGGAACGACAGGTGCCTCTTCTGGAGTCGTAGTAATACCGGGGGCAGGAACCTCTGCACGGACCAGGCTCACGCGGTTAACTACACATTGGATTGGCTAAATCAACAAAAGATTGAAAAAAGCTTTTCAAGTTTTTCATTTTAAAAAGAGCATAACCTATTCCTGATTGAGCATCTGTCAGTGCAATAGTTTTATTTCTTATTTCAAATGATAAACAGAATAATTAATATAATCATGGTTTTAATAATATATAATAGAATTTTGGACCTGCTTCCACAGAAAGCTCAATAATGTTATTGATTGTATTTCTCTGTTTAGCGTTAGAATTGAATTAAAAAAACATAGACTTTCATTCACTTTGTATTTTTACGCATGCATACAATTGCTTACATGGAGGACGCCTTGGACGGTATCCTTGTCCGTTGACCACGACCTAAAATCAAGTAAAAGAATATATCTTTAAATAGATAGATACTGAAATTCTTATACTTTTTGTTGGATAGGCCTAATGTTTTATCTATTAATGCTAATAATATACTCTTGCAAAACTTTTGTGTTTGCTGCAGATCTACAACAAATCTATTGAAAGTTTGTAGTAAACAAAATTGCTTGCAGCAAGAAGTATTTTAAGATACCATTTATTTGTTTGAAGTAACATGCACTGATTTTTGCAAGCTTAAGAATGACTCAAAAAATATAACCAAGTTTTATGGTATTTTGCCAGAAACACATTATATAAATATTGCATGTAGCTGAGTGTAACATTGAAAATTTTCACCCCAAAAAACCATTGTCAACTGAGGCGCAGCCGAGTTGACAGGTTGACAATTGTTTTCGAGGGGTGAAAATTTTCAATATTACACTCAACTACATGCAATATTTATTATATGATACTGAATGTGTTATACAAATACATATAACAGTGAACCGTGCGCGCATAAATTGTGCGCAGTCGTTTGTTTTTTGTTTTTGGAATATCACTCGTCGTCACGCACTGTTGACTGTTGGTAAGCTGGAGGGCGAGGCTTCATTATTCAGCGGGAAATAGTGTTTTTTAACAAATGTTTCTCGACCAATCAGATCAGATTCAACTAATTTACATGAAAGTATAATATTTTCAGATATGTTTCCTGCATGCTTGAAAGAAACATAAACACCTATAATATTTAAGTGGGATAATAGTAAATTGCGCAAAGGGAGAACATTTTATGAGATCAAAATAATTTTATTCTAAAAGCTTTTTCTACAGTCAATGCTTTAGTCAACGATATACGTTATTTTCGGAAGTAAAGCTTATCAGGAAAATGTTTCACAGTTATACTTTTGTGTGAAACAACAAATATTCCATGCTTATTGACTTCTCACTGATATTTACACGTCTCCCTTCATGTATAATGGAAACCAAAGCAAGAAATCTTAAGATTTTCGTCCATGAAAAATAACTTATAAAATCAGTTTGTAAAACAAAGTACACATAATAACCCTTAAATATGTTTAAAAACATTCGGGGTTTGTTATCTCATACGGATATTAGGTCATCATATGACCGAGAAAGGCTTAAATATCTCATGGACGTTGAGCATTAATGGGTATTTAACATATCATTGCCTACTATAACTCAATATTTTGGTTTTCAAAAGTTTCATTAGAAACACTCTTGATGTTCATTTATTTTGCAAGCTTCAAACATGGTTTTTGCTATAGCTTATGCATTATCTGTTCATAAAATAAATAACATAATAAGAGATAAAAAGTATTTTGGGTCTGAAATGATTAAATGTGTGAAAGTTATAATAAAACATAACTAATGTCTTGTCAAGGGATATCAAAATTTAAAGAAACGCGTTTGCCAAAATTTATTCAAACATTTCACATCAATTTAACATGAAGGAAGGAATGTAATCTAGCTTTTTGAGATCATGCTCCACATCGTTTTTTAAACTGATTAACAAATGATGTAATTGAATATTTTAACCATAATTATTCTATTGAAAATCGAAACCATGGTAACAAACTCAACAAGAGGCCCACGGGCCTTATAGGTCACCTGAGCATTATGCAACAACTTTCCAGTTACAGTGTATTGAATTTGATTCATGTTTTAAGCCAGATGCTATATGGCATTCACAATTTTGAAAGAGGCACCATTGATCATCATAACAATACACTTAACAGTTGCTTAGCTTGGTAACTGAATACCCATACGCAGGGTAGGGGAACAAAAATGCACTCCAACTAATCAGTAATATTCAGCAATAATCAGTAGTGCCCCTAACACTGTGACATAAACCCCTGACCCTAGGTCCAAACATTGCACAAATTTTTAAAAGGCACACTTAAAATTGCCTATCAAAAAAATAAATAAATGTTTTATAAACATGATAAATAGAAAGGAGCAGATTTCAAACAATAAATTCATTTTCAGTATATAAGTAGAGCCCCCACCCCCCACCCCTGACCCTGGTGCCTTAAAATACCCAATTCTGCAAGATTAGGGCCCTTGCTCATCATAACTATACAGGTAGTTCATCTACTTCATACCCTGAGACAGAGAAGAAAATTTTCAAAGATTTAATGAATTTTCACTATAAAATCAATAGAACCCCGCCCCAACACCAGAACCCTTGACCCTGGGACCATAAAATTCACAATTTTGGTTGAGGCACTCTTTCTCATCATAACTATGCACTTAGTTAGTTTATTTAATACCTAGGAGCAGAGAAGAAGATTTTCAAAGAATTCATGTATTTTCACTATATAATCAATAGAGCCCCCCCCCCCCCCCCAACACTAGAACCCTTGACCCTGGGGCCATAAAATTCACAATTTTGGTAGAGGCACTCTTGCTTATCATAACTATGCACTTAGTTAGTTTATTTAATACCTAGGAGCAGAGAAGAAGATTTTCAAAGAATTCATGTATTTTCACTATATAATCAATAGAGCCCCCCCCCCCCAACACTAGAACCCTTGACCCTGGGGCCATAAAATTCACAATTTTGGTAGAGGCACTCTTGCTTATCATAACTATGCACTTAGTTAGTTTATTTAATACCTAGGAGCAGAGAAGAAGATTTTCAAAGAATTCATGTATTTTCACTATATAATCAATAGAGCCCCCCCCCCTCCAACACCAGAACCCCTGACCCCAGGGCCATGAATTTCACAATTTTGGTAGAGGCACTCTTTCTTATCATAACTATACACTTAGTTAGTTTATTTAATACCTAGGAGCAGAGAAGAAGGTTTTCAAAGAATTCATGTATTTTCACTATATAATCAATAGAGCCCCCCCCCCCCAACACCAGAACCCTTGACCCTGGGGCCATAAAATTCACAATTTTGGTAGAGGCACTCTTGCTCATCATAACTATGTACTTAGTTGGTTTATTTAATACCCAGGAGCAGAGAAGAAGATTTTCAAAGAAATAATGCATTTTCACTGTATACTTATTTAGCCCCGCCCTAGCACTAGAACCCCTGACCCCAGGGCCATGAATTTCACAATTTTGGTAGAGGACTCAATGCTGATTACAATCATGCAAATAGTTTGACTGCTTGATGTCCAGGAGTAAAGAAGAAGATTTTTAAAGATTGCATTAATTTTAGTGGTTTTGGCCCCACCCCTCAGGCCCCAGGGGGGAAGGGATCATGAAATTCACAATTTTTGTTCCCCTTCACCCATAGATGCTTTGTGCAAAATTTGGCTGAAATTGGTTCAGTGGTTGCGGAGAAGAAGCTGAAAATGTTCAAATGTTAACACACGACGGACGACGCACGACGGACGACGGACGACGCACGACGACGGACGAAAACGGATAGCAATAGGTCACCTGAGTTTACTCAGGTGACCTAATAAAACCTTAAACAAAAAAAAACTTACAATAATACTGCAAAATAACAATCCACATAAAAACACTTGCTTCATTATTATCTGTTTTGACAGCTGTTTCGTATTGTAATAATATTCAGATTTTATATACTTGTCAAATATTACCTACAAGCACATGACTTTTACAGATGACCAACTTTGGCAATTTTTTTCAACGATGATTAATAATAAAGGATTAAGGGATCACGTTTGTACCTTAAAGCAATTGCCAACACCGCCAGTGGAACGGGACTTCGGTTTAGAATATCAGCAAAGGAAATTTTCCTATATTCTAAAGTGGATTATTAACCATCTTCTTACTAAGCAATTTAGGGCGCTGTCATCCGTTTTAAGTAGTCGGAAAATAGCTCTTCAGAGCTAATGTTCTTTGTTGATGTACCCGACTTTAAATAAAAATATTATCTTAAGTACATACGCTATCCCTTTCCAACCTTAGACGAGTTTAAAGAGGTCAAGGTGATCGATTGAAACCCATTTTCTTGAAGGAAAACATTGAGGCTTGTAGCAGTCACATAGTATATAGTCCGCGCATTTATGAAAATGTAAGATTTTGATATTTTCTTGTCACCTATTCATACCCTTTGCATAAAATGCTTTGTACTCGAGAAAGTTTTAGAAACATTATGTCGATATATTAATTAATAGAGAGAGTGTATACTACTGTTTTTTTCTCCTTTAATCAGAACTTTTGTTAATAAGTGCAGATCTATTGAATCCTTTTAACCATCTTTTACAACATCTTAATCTTCTCTTTCACTTCCTAAAATTACCGTAAAGTGGCTTCTTGGGACGTAACTGTGAACAATGCAGCGTTTTGTATGTCTTTACAAAACAATATACAAAGCTGTTGCAAGCCACGATTTATAAATTTCCCGGAGTTGGGTTTTCCTATCGGTGTAGTTAACATACTGGAAAGAACTTCTCACTGAGATAGTGATTTAAATAATAGGTAATGGTCTCATGAATATTAATAACTCATTTCTGCAAAGATGCAATAGTACATGTACATCTATTTTGTTGTTAAATGTACATATAGTAAAAACATTAATCAAAATAGATTGTTTTCATTTTTTTTACGGTCGTTTATAAAAAAAAAGGCTTGATCAGATTTTTTATGACTCGCTTATTGTCTATGATAAAAAAAATCCCCAGTTATGACAACTGCGTTGAGAAGACATGACACCTTAAAGCCATATATGGCGTATGTACGAGGGCTGTTCGAAAATTATTGAGACATTGTGTATATTTTGCTTTCTAATGAACGTCTTTTAATGAAAATTCGCTTATACGTTTGACATACACTAAGAATAAGTAAAAACAAAAAAATATTTTACAAATATTAAATATTTTCTGTACAATGATATATAAATGCGTCAATAGTAGGGGTACCTGGAGCAGTCACGAAATCAGACATTGCAAATATGTAACATCAACATTCTAACTCTTCGTGGACCCGTAAAAAGAGTGAAAATAATTCAGTTTATGAATATAACTTTTCGGGTTTATTTCAAATTCATTTTGTGCAACTTTGTTAGCATTTTTGATCAGGAATACGGAGATAATAAAAAAAAATAAGCGTGGTAGAGAAATCTGCTAGGAACAAAAAATGGAATTTGATGTCAAGGGCGGAGCAGCCAGCATACACAAAATTTTATGTAACGCATTGTAGAACTCTTTTTAATACTGAACGACCTGCTAAAACTGCATTAGGGTTTGTTATTTATTGGTACATGTATACATTTTGTTTGTTTGTATTTTTTCTTTTTACAATTAATTCAACCAGAGAAAAATCAAAAGCTCCGGACGACAATCAGTTATTACATACGATATTAATACGGTACTAATAGATGATCTGCATTGCATAAATCGGCACTGATTCTAAGTCATCCTTTCCCACAAATGAAAATTTTACACTGGGGTAGCAACAGCATACATTTTTAAAGAATAGTTTAAGAAAAGAGACTGATTTTGTAATGTTATATTTAATAACAAATTAATTAAGGAAAAGTATGAAACGCTTCCCGGTCGTTTTACAAACGAAACCATCTCCGGTTGACGTGATGTTAAATGACGTAGCGATGCTGCTCCGGGTCATTAGACATATGCATGTTTATCATTTCACCGAAACTTTTCTTCTTATCGTAGGAATTAGAAATTTTGCATAAGTGTTTTAATTGTTCTTTAAAAAATGTTGATGAATTTTCATGAAATTATCTTCTTCCTTTATGGAGTAAATGTAATTGTCTCAATAATTTCCGAACAGCCCTCGTACAATGAAAATTATTGGACTAAAATTATAAGAACTTATTATTTGTATCATTACTTTATATAAAGATAGAACTTTTCCGTAAATTACAAAATCTAAATCAATTGCGTTATAAAGATATCACAATTTATTTGGATTCTCGAAATTTTCTCCCACTCGGAAGAAAATAAAAAAGATTTAAACAACACATTAAAGAGAAGATGAAATCGTATTATTAGATGAAACGAGGTGTTCTCCGTGTTCAGAACTGTATGAAAAGCTTTAATTTAAATGTATCAACTATATTTCTTTACTTAGTTTTGTATTTTTCAAAAATATATTTTTTTGATCATTTACGCCATATATGGCTTTAAGTGTGTTTCCATCTTGTTTCACGGAGACTTTATTATTTTATGACTATGACCTATGACTGCTTATTTTTTACCCGGTAGCTTCATTAATATGTATAACCCACCTGTTGCACGATGTACTATACGGTCGTTTATATCGTTTTGAAATAATGAGATTCAATCGTCTTACTTGCTTTGCTAGAAGGTTGTTTTGATCTAGTTTGCTTTATTTGTGGATACGTAATCAACTGTTATATATCTGTTGCCTAAGGAGAGGAGAACTTTTAGTTAATTGCCTTTCATATTGTAAAAATTATTTTTTGTAAGTCTGTAATAAAAGTCTGTATGAAATCAAATGCCAAATATAAAATATCAAAGATTCGATGAAAAAAGTCGGCCGAGTAAGTTGGGTTAACGCAGAAGTTAGCAACAACAAGAAAGCAACCATTATACAAGTTTTTAAAGAGGAGAACAGTACAGAAACTGTCGAATGTCGTTTTACATTTAACGTTGTTTGCGATACGTACAGCCCTACAATTCATGAAAGATTGTGAATTTGGATTTCCTTACTCGTATCATACTTCTCCAACTCTTGCTTTCAAAAAATAACTTATACTTTTTGTAGAATTGTTAAAATAATTTCTTTAATTGAGAACCCAACATTAAGAGCTACATACTGGTGGTTTGTGGTGGTTGTTGATCTAACTACATAGATATAAAGTTATCCTTCAGCAAGTACCAGTGTTTTGAAGGTCTAGGTAAGTTAAGGGGTCCAAAACTGCTTTAAATATGGTTTATCCCTAATATACGAGTATTTGAATAGGTATCTTAATTTTGATTTTGTGCATAAACATGATCCTGATTCTTTTGCAATTAAGTTTGCAAAGTTTTTAATGTGGGCAGATATTCTGTGACACTCTGTAAATGTCTCAATACGTAAGTAAATAATATAGCCATTGAGTTTAAAACTTCTGTAAACAAAATTTTATTCGCGTGCGAGACATTTTCGCGAGGTTCGCAAAAGCCATGTGGTCATGAATATTTTTCTTCGTGAATGGATCCTTTAAGTCTTCTGGTCTAATAACAATAGATCCAACTAAAATGCTTGCTCGCAAAAATTAATTATTCGTCGCGAACCATTTCCCCATGTTTAATCGCGAAATAAAGTCGTCGCGAATAAAAGTTGGTTTACTTTATTGTAAATGCTATTAAAAATTTTGTATTTAAAAAAAATTGCCAACAACATGAGGTTTTGAGATATGAAGAAGTTATTAGAACGGAAAGATCGAAAATTTAATGATTTTTTATTGAGCTTTTTTAGAAAAGCGTCCCAAAGACTGCAGTGAGCCTGTTAGAACATTTTTAAAGGTTCACCACTAATAATTTATGTCTCTTTTCAGAGTTCAATTTCTTGTTTTATACCCTTTCTAGGCCTGGTATAACCACCATAACTCCTTCCTGTTACTACCACCTGAAATAAAGTAAAAAAAAAAATATTTTAATTTTTACAGGAATAATTGGAGAAAAAAATAAAATGTGATTTCTTTAATCCCAGTTTATTTTAGAATTTAAAATGTATAATATGTTCATCAAATTAATTAAATAAAATAACACACTTTAATTTTTTTTCAAAAAAGTTGTAATTTCCAATTCATGAGATCATGTGAGGACGTAAAGTGCAAATTTAAAGTAGGAATAGGGGAAATTTATGGGAAATGTATTTTTATGCATTGATCCCGTTTACATTAATTAAAATAAATTTAATTGCATTAAATTTTGTATGTTATGTAAAATTCTTTTCCAATCTGCGCATTGAATATCCATTGAGCATTTCTCAATACTTCTAATTACTTTTTGGAAGAAAAAAATCACCCACATTATGAATAGGTTTGTTGCACATTTTCTAAAATAAAGATACCATTAATAATTTAGATGATATCATTATCGCTTGTTTTCTCTTTTATTGCATAAAAAATCAGGTTTATGTGGATTTTTACATGCATTGCTTATACATATAGTTTCTATAAGCGTTGGGCATGAGGTTCCTATATATTTGGAAAAGTAGAACGTCAGTTATTTAAACTATAGATTAGAAAATATAAAGCGACTGTTAAATCTGAGGGAAAATGAAGATGATGCGTAATTATTTTAAATATAAAAAGTGTTGTTCTTTTCAAGACTCTGAACAACATGAATACATGTATAAAATAATTGCTCTCGTTATTATACATAACTTTTAATTTAAACATCACACTTTAAGACATAAATAGTCGTAATCGATTTAATACTGAAGGCTATCGAGTAAATCTTTGTAACAAGGTTACCGAACTATCACAATACATGATTTAGTGTTAATAATTTCCGTCTGTTGTAAACATATATTAATTTTCTAAATGCGTTTCATTTTTTGTTAAACGGTGTTATTTTGACATCCCTCTTGACCTGACAGCTGTCAAAGTTTGAAAACATAGAAAGA